CTGCAACTAGCTCTTGTAGACCAGGCTGGTCTCGAACTCACAGAGATCCTCCTGCCTCTGCCTCCCGAGGGCTGGGACTAAAGGCATGCGCCACCACCGCCCGGCTCATCTTGTCTGTTTTTATGCCAATATCATGCGGTTTTTATTGCCATAGCTCTGTAGTACAGCTTAAAATCAGGAATGGTGATGCCTCCAGCAGTTCTTGTATTGTACAGGGTTGTTTTAGCTATTCTGGTTTTTTTGTTTTTCCATATGAAATTGAGTATTCTTTCAAGGTCTGTAAAGAGTTTTGCTGGGATTTTGATGGGGATTGTGTTGAATCTGTAGATTCCTTTTGGTAAGACAGCCATTTTTACTATGTTCATTCTACAGACCCCTGAGCATGAGAGATCTTTTTATCCTCTGGTATCATTTTCAAAGACTTGAAGTTCTTGTCATACAGGTCTTTCACTTGCTTGGTTAGTTACTTACCCCAAGATATTTTATGTTACTTGTAGCTATTGTGATGGGTGGTGTTTCCCTGATTTCTTTCTTGGTCCGTTTGTCATTTGTATATAGGAGGTCTACTGATTTTTGTTTTTGAGTTAATCTTGTATCCAGCCACTTTGCTGAAGATGTTTATCAGGCTGTAGGAGTTCCCTGGTAGAATTTTTGGGGTTGCTTAAGTATACTGTCTTATCACCTATAAATATCAATACTTTGACTTTCCAATTTATATCCCCTTGATCTCCTTTTGTTGTCTTATTGCTCTAGATAGAACTTTTAAGTGCTAAATTAAATAGATATGGAGAGAGTGGACAGCCTTGTCTTGTTCATTATTTTAATGGAATTGCTTTGAGTTTCTCTCTTCAATTTGATATTGGCTAGAAGCTTGCTGTAAATTGCCTTTATGTTTAGATATGTTCCTTGAATCCCTGATCTCTTCAAGACTTTTATCATGAAGGGGTGTTGGATTTTGTCAAAGGCTTTTTCAGCATCTGATGAGATCATATTTTTTTTCTTTCAGCTTGTTTATATGATGGATTACATTGACAGATTTTCGTATGTTGAACCATCCCTTCATCTCTGGGATGAAGCCTACTTGATCATGGTGGATGATCTTTTTGATGTGTTCTTGGATTCGGTTTGCAAGTATTTTATTGAGTATTTTTACATTAATAATCATGAAGGAAAATTTTCTGTAATTCTCTTTCTTGAATCTTTGTGGTTTGGGTATCTGAGTGACTGTGGCCTCATAAAATGAATTTGGCAGTATTCTTTGTTTCTGTTTTGTGGAATAATCTGAGGAATATTGGTATTAACTCTTTGAAAGTCTGGTAGAATTCTGTCCTAAAATTGTCTGGCTCTGGTCTTTTGGGGGGGAGAATTTTAATGGGGTCTTCTATCTCCTGAAGGGTTAGAGGTCTGTTTAAATTGTTTATCTAATCTTGATTTAACATTGGTAAATGGTATCTATCCAGAAAACAGTCCATTTCTTTTAGATTTTCCAATTTTGTGTAGTACAGATTTTTGAAGTATAAACTAATGATTCTTTGGATTCACTTGGTATCTGTTATGTCCCCCTTTTCATTTCTGATTTTTGTTAATTTGGATATTCTCTCTGTCTTTTAGTTTTTATAAGGGTTTGTTTATCTTGTTGATTTTTTTTCAAAGAACCAACTTTTTGTTTCATTGATTCTTTGTATTGTTTTCTTTATTTCTATTTTACTGATTTCAGCCCTCAGTGTGATTATTTCCTGCTATCTACTCTTCTTGGGTATATTTATTTATTTTTGTTCTAGAGCTTTCAGGTGTGCTGTTAAGTTGCTAGTAGGAGCTCTCTCCGGTTTCTTTTTGAAGGCACTTAGTGCTATGAACTTTGCTCTTAGCACTGCTTTCATTGTGTCCCATAAATTTGGGTATTTTGTACATTCATTTTCATTGAATTCTGGGAAGTCTTCAATTCCTTTATTTCTGCCTTGATCCAATGATCATTCAGTAGAGTTGTTCTGTTTCCATGAGTTTGCAGGATTTCTTTTGTTTCTGTTGTTGAAATCTGGTTTTAAATGATGCCAGGGGTTATTTCAGTTTTCTTGTGTTTATTTAGACTTGCTTTGTGATTGAGTAGGTGGTTGGTTTTGGAGATTGTTCCATGGGGTACTGAGAGGAAAGTGCATTCTTCTGTGTTCAGGTGAAATGTCTGTAGATAACTGTTAGTTACATTTGGTGCACAATGTCTGTTAGCTCCAGTGTTTCTCTTTGGTTTTTGTTTGGATGACCTGTCTATTGGTGAGAGTTGGGTATTAAAGTCTCCCACTATCAACGTGTTAACGGTTGATGTATGAATTAAGCTTTAATTGTTTTTCCTTTATAAACATGGGTGTCCTTGTGTTTGGGGCATAGATATTGAGAATTGAGATGACATCTTGGCAGATTTTTCCGTTGAGTATGAAGTATCCTTTCTGTCTCTTGATTAACTTTACTTTGAAGTATATTTTGTTAGATATTAGAATGGTTACACCAGCTTGATTCTTAGGTCCATTTGCTTGGAAAATCTTTTTCTAATCCTTTACTCTGAAGTAATGTCTATCTTTGGTGTTGAGATATTTCTTGTATTCAGCAGAAGGATGGATTCTGTTTTTGCATCCATTATATTGATACTGAGAGAGATCAATGACTGGTGATTGTTAATTCCTGTTATTATGTTGTTGAGGGGTGTAGGGGTGTGTGTGTGTGTGTGTGTGTGTGTGTGTGTGTGTGTGTGAGAGAGAGAGAGAGAGAGAGAGAGAGAGAGAGAGAGAGAGAGAGAGAGATTATTTATTGCCTGTATTTTTGTGAGTATAGTTAAACTTGGCCTGAATCTGTGGATAGGTACTGTTTAAATTTGACTTTGTCATGGAATATCTTGTGTTCTCCATCTATAATGGCTGAAAGTTTTGCTGGGTATAGTAGTCTGGGCTGGCATCTGTGTTCTCTTAGATCTGTAGGACATCTGTCTAGGCCCTTCTGGCTCTTTGAGCCTCTATGGAGAAGTCGGATATGATTCTAATAAGTTTGCCTTTATATGTTACTTGGCCTTTTCCCTTGGCAGCTTTTAATATTCTTCTTTATTCTTTGTATGGTTAGTGTTTTGATGTGGCTCAGGAACTTTCTTTTCTGGGCCAATCTATTTGGTTTCTCTTGAGCTTTTTATACTTTTTTTTTTTTTTTTTTTAAGATTTTGTTTATTATGTGTACAGTGTTCTGCCTACATGTATACCTGCTGGCCAGAAGAGGGCACCAGGTATCATTACAGATGGTTGTGAGCCACCATGTGGTTGCTGGGAATTGAACTCAGGACCTCTGGAAGAGCAGTCAGTGCTCTTAACCTCTGAGCCATCTCTCCAGCCCAGCTTTTTATACCTTTTATAGGCATCTCTTTCTTAAAGTTAGAAAATTTTTCTTATATGATTTTGTTAAAAATATCTTCTGGGGCTGGAGAGATGGCTCAGCGGTTAAGAGCAGTGACTGTTCTTCCAGAGGTCCTGAGTTCAATTCCCGGCAACCACATGGTGGCGCACAACCAGCTATAATGAGATCTAGTGCCTTCTGTTGGCATGCAGGCAGACAGCTGTATACATAATAAATAAATTAAAAAAAAATATCTTCTGGGTCCCAGAGAAACCCTGTTTCAAAAAACAAACAAAAATTTTTTTTCTGGGCCTTTGAGCTAGGATTCTACTCCTTTTATTCCTGTTATTCTTAGGTTTGGTCTTTTTATTGTGTCCCATATATCCTGGATGTTCAACATGGGCACCTTAGCAGGGCTTCACCAGTGAACACTGTCTCTCCCCCTCTCCCATTGCCCAGTAGCTGTACGAGTTCTTGGCAGGGCATGGGGCATGGTGGCTCTTGAGAGGCCGGGGGATCTCTGTGAATTTGAGGCCATCCGGGTCTGCATAATGAGAGTTACATAGACCGTCTCAAAAAACTGAAATATAAAAAATAAGTGCAACATCTATGTTACACATACCTGGTGTCTGGGTTCACTGCATTCCTCCTCCTTCTAGCTCTTGCATTCTCTGAACCGTTTGTTCCATGATGTTTCCTGAGCCTTGGAGGGAATGGTGCAGTTATCCCACTTATGGCTGGGCATTCAAAAGTCCTGTATTCTTGGTTCTTTGACCAGTTACGAATTTCTGCAGTCATCATTGACTAGGGAAAAGGATCAAAGAGGGTGATTTGATGGACACATTGTATCCATTTAGCAAGACAACAGCCTAGCTCTCTGGCTTGGGCCTACAAACACTCCAGCCATTGGCTTTTGGTTGCATTTACAGTAGCAGATATGAGTTCTCTTCTGTGGAATGGGCATCACCCCCAGTCCAAAAGTGGCTGGTTCCTCCTACCACAGATTTTTGGTGTACTGTTGCAGTGTGCTCATCTTGTCTGGGTCGGTATGCTGCACATGGGGTCCACAGCTGGGTGAGATTGTTGGTGGGGGTTCTCCCGTGGCATCCTGCACAGCCCATTCAGGCACTGTGGGAACTACCCAGCAGGCACAAGGAAGCCCTCCAGCCAAGTGCCAGCTTGGTTTTTCTGTGCCCCGTGTCTGTACCATGTGGTGGACTTGGAGACAGATGGAGATGGGAGTGAGGTGTGAGAGGACCTATTGATACTGATCTTCATAATTATCAATAGCCTGCAGTTCTGTGGCTTTAAGGAGTGGGCAGATTCCTTCTCTAATTGCTGTCTTGAAACTTCACTATGTCACTTGTTCTGTTTTATCAGTGCTTTGTGTGGCCTACAGTATTACATAGTCAAGAAAAATACTTTCTCTACAGGAGTCAGATTTTCTACTATTCCACTGGAGTGAGTGTGGGAATTGTGGCCTCTCTGTTAATCATCATTTTTATGCTCTCCAAGTTCATGCCCAAGGTAAGTGGTCCAGCGTCTCCTGAGTATTTAGGATAAACGTGGGCAGCTGGAGGATTTTCTTGCAGTTTTAGAATACTGGACATTTGCATTGTGGCTGATGAGTCAGTGTCGGTCCTGTCTTTGATCTGACCTCAAGCCTACAGACTCTTTATTTGAAACCATGTGCTCAGTGGGAACTGAAAGCCACTTTCTGTTTTTTGATTACACATTTAGGCTTTCCAGTTATTAGCATCTCATCTTCCTAGTGTTCCTTGCAGACTGTACCTTTTTAAGAGAAATGTTTTTATGCATTTTGAGTAGGTTGAATTTAAAAAAAAAATGGTCTCATTTGCTTCTTTTATAAAAGTCTTAGAACTTTTGCTTGCATTTCTGCTTTGTCTAGAGAAGTCCCATTTATGTCATCCTGGTCGGAGGCTGGTCCTTTTCTCTGTACCTCATTCAGCTAGTTTTTAAGAATTTACAAGAGATATGGAGGTGTTATTGGCATTATCTTCTAGGTAAGTATCGTTGACTTGGCTTTTCTTTGTGCATGTTTATAAGCTGTTTGGTTAATTTGATTGTGAGAAGATGTTGCCTGCCAACAAGGAGGGCTAACTTGTAAAAATTTTAATTTACTACTTATTTCTAATCATCTTTTAAATTTAGATACTGGTGATAAGAATAGAACTTTGATTTGCTGGTGTTTATTTCTGCATTAAGCAAAATTTAAAACCTTTAAAAATTGGGCCGGGCATTGGTGGTGCACGCACTCTTTTAATCCCAGCCCAAGGAAGCAGATGCAGGTGGATCTCTGTGAGTTCGAGGCCAGCCTGGTCTATAGAGCGAGTGCCAGGATAGGCTCCAAAGCTGCACAGAGAAACCCTGTCTCAAAGTAAAAAAAGAAAAACAAACAAACAAAAAAACAAACCACCACCACCACCACCACCAAAAAACCCTTTAAATTGGTTTTATTAATGTTAGTTTAAGTATGCTTGGGGACCTTGAGAAGTAAGACTGCTATGACTCTTGTATACAGTAAGAATCCTTAGCTGGGCGGTGGTGGCGCACGCCTTTAATCCTAGCACTTGGGAGGCAGAGGCAGGTGGATCTCTGTGAGTTCGAGACCAGCCTGGTCTACAAGAGCTAGTTCCAGGACAGCCTTCAAAGCCCAAAAGAAACCCTGTGTGCAAACAAAACAAAAAAAAAAAAAAAAAAAAAAAAAAGAATCCTTAAAAAACAAAACAACAACAACAAAAAACAATCCTTTGGTCACACAGAAACTTTTTCTTCTTGATAGGAACTTGATGTGTTATTTGAGAACATTAATATGAATTTTTATATTTTGGGATTAAAATGAACTATTTTAGAAATGTTCGACATGTAGTTTTTAAAAAAGATTTAGTTTTTAATTACACACAGACACATACACATACACACATATTTTGGGGTGCTGTTGAGCCCTGGTGCCTGTAGATAGCAGATCAGAACCTCTGGAGATGCCATATGGTCCTGGGAACTGCACTTGGGTTCTCTGGAAGAGCATGGATACTCTTAACCTCTGAGCCATCTCTTCAACCCATTACATCTGTGACAAAAAGATAGAGTGATCTGTGTGTATGTGAAGTGGGTAAAGACTGGAGCACAGCTCTTGTCTGATCTCCTGGTTCAGTAGATGCCATCTAGTGAACTTACTGCGCTTTCCACATAATAGCTGAAGAAGAGTGACTTGTGCTGACTCCTCCCTAGGCTACGTCCTCACCGTTGGATTCATGAGTTTTGCGGTGTGCTACAAGTATGGGCCCTTGGAGAATGAGCGCAGCATCAACCTGCTCACCTGGACGCTGCAGCTGCTGGGCCTGGCTTCCATGTATGCCAGCATTCAGATACCGCACATTGCTTTTGCTCTTGTCGTCATTGCACTGTGCACTAAGAACCTGGAGTACCCAATTCATTGGCTATACATCACCTACAGGTGACTAAGGAGGCAGTGTGACTTGGTGTTGACATGTGGGGTGTGGGACACACTTTGCAGCAGAGCATGCAGAGCTTTTCCTTGGGAACCTTTGTAAGTGAGAAGGCACTGTGCTGTCTCCACCCTGTTCTGTCAGTTAAGTCTATTTTTTCTTTCTTTCTTTTTTTTTTTTTTTATAAAATAAAAGCATCCAGTAAAGTGTCATGTGTTCCTGTTACCACTAGATGGTGCAAATTATAGCTTTTTTTTTTTTTTTTTTTTAACCCTAGGCCTCAGGTTCAGTTTTCAGATCTTGTCACTGACTGCCAGATTGCTCCAGAGATCCCAGTCTTGTTTTAAGATGTAGTTCATAGCATGTTATCCTTGCAAAAGTAAATATGGAGTGGTACTTGACTCTGAGGTTGTCCGTGGCTGTCCCATTGCAGATAATCAAAGTGGAACCTTCAGTTTCAGGAACTGAGTTCACGAACCACATTATAGCATCATTTTGTTGTTGTTTTTCTACTTACTGGAAATAAATATTTTGTTTGTCATTTATTGGAAAATAAGTGAATCTGACTACTCTGGTTTTTCACTCATAGTTTGGTATGTCAGGAGCTCACTGTAACAAAGGATGTCTGTGGAAGAGAGGTGGGGGTGATGACTCTCAATGTGTAGTCTGTCAGGTGTGTGCTGGGTCTCCTGAACAAGTGGAGGTGTAGGGGTGGATGGTGGGTTACTGATCACTGATGTGTGCTGTTATTTTGGTGAGCACAGAAAGATGTGTAAGGCAACAGCAAAGCCTGTCCCCCCTCGCCTCCTGACAGAAGAGGAGTATCGGATACAAGGAGAGGTGGAGACCCAAAAGGCTTTACAGGAACTCCGAGAGTTTTGTAGTAGTCCAGAGTGCTCTGCCTGGAAGACTGTATCTCGGATTCAGTCTCCAAAAAGGTAAACTCTTGGCCTGATAAGCCAAGTATTTATGGGTAGTTAATGATCTTGAATTCTAACAGAGATGGTACTTCTAGATAACTAATACATTGTGCCTCTTGATTACTGCTAACCTAGGAGTAGTAAAGAGAAAGTTATCTGTGTCATCATGTATTAGCAGCAATCCAGTTCCTGTTTTCCCAAGGCAGCTATCTCCTTGTTCGTATTATAGCATTAACATGTGAAGACTTCAGTACAATATGTAAGAGTGGCCCTTGTAAGTTTGACATAGATGTTGCACTTATTTTTTATATTTCAGGTTTTTGGGACGGTCTATGTAACCCTGGCTGTCCCAAGTTGCTCCCTGACCCTTTTGGTTGGGAGTGGTTGTACCAAAGAGTATGTGAAGTTTTAATTTGGAAACATGATAGCATGAAGTTTATAGGGCCATAAAAGCAAACAATGGTAATGCCCCTATCTCTTTATCAGGAATGTGGTGACTCAAGAAACCTTAGCACTCCGTAACTAAGGAGGACAGGGTAGCCACTGTCAGGCAGGATGAGAGTGCCCAGAATGTTGGCCTCTGAGCCCGTCCTTGTTCCCTGCCTGTTTCCTTCTCCAGTCTCTGTATCTGCAGAGCGAGGACAGGAATTGAGTTAGATTGCATATAATTTGAACTACAAGCATGCAGAGCCTTTCAGTTTGTTGTTTGGAGAGCCATTTGGAAAGGACAAGAAGCCTCCTAATGAGCAACCCTCTCTTTTGCAGATTCGCTGACTTTGTGGAAGGTTCTTTTCACCTCACGCCAAATGAAGTTTCTGTTCACGAGCAGGAATATGGATTAGGGAGCATAATTGCCCAGGATGAGGAGCTGTCCTCAGAGGAGGAGGGCTCAGAGTTCCCCACTGTCACCCAGAACAGCTTCCTGACTTAGATGGGAATCAGTTATTATTTTCACGTAGACTGGCGTGGTGCCTTGATGGTCTGTTTGTATCTGCTGTGCAATCTCCCAGGCTTTTCTAATGGCCTGAAGAGGGTGCAGAAGCTCTCCAACTGACATGAGGGGACTGAGTGGCTTACCCCTGGTCTCCAAGGGGTCCCTGAGGAAAGAATGGAGGAAGTAGTGAGTGCCATGGTAGCTTGCCTCTGACAGTTGAGCTGTTGGTCCGCTTTTCTGTTCCTGAAGCACAGCCACAGCCACAGCCAGCATGATATTTTAGCTCCTGTTTGAAAGTTCTCTGAATGATGGCGACTCTGTCACTGTGACAAACCCTCAGAAATGAATATTAAGTGCAGTAAAGCATTCAGACCATAGGCTGCATCTTCTAAGGTGAATTCTATAAATGTGAGCCATTTTTATTTCTGTCTGTTTGTATTTCAATGGGTGTTTGGAATAATCCTTCATCTAACTATTGAAGAAAGAAATACTTGTTGCTTAGCTTGTTTTTTTAAACAAATTATTTTTTTAAATGCAGCAAATTCATGTTTTAGAAGTGCTCCAGAGTGACAAGCTCTATTGATTCCCAGATATTTATTAGTATAGATATCCATGAAAACCCCTGGAGCTGTTGTGTTGAACCTTGAATTCTCACGAATTTGATAGTATGGGTTTTATTTATATTTTCCAAGCTTTTTTTATTCTATTTAACATTTGCATTTTCTCTTGCCTTTTCTCACCACTCACTTTTCTACTCAAGAAGGGTCTATATCCTTACCTGTGGAGTGTGCACAATTCAGAATCTGTCTCTTTTTGACCTCTGTCCTCTCCTTTTCCCTTCTTTTTTTTTTTTTTTTTTTGGTTTTTCGAGACAGGGTTTCTCTGTGGCTTTGGAGGCTGTCCTGGAGCTAGCTCCTCTTGTGGACCAGGCTGGTCTCAAACTCACAGAGATCCGCCTGCCTCTGCCTCCCGAGTGTTGGGATTAAAGGCGTGTGTCACCACTGCCCGGCTATCCTTTTCCCTTCCTAACACGGAGGTTCCTTCACTTGTGGCCATTTTATTATTAGTTTTCTTCTCTGAGTCAGGGTCTTGCTGTGTAACTCATGCTCATCTTAAACTCTCAGTCATTTTACCTCAGCCTTTCAGTGTTAGAACCTTAAGTCTATGCTGTGCCAACCTTTTGTTTTTTCCTTTTACTTTTTTTGAGACAGGGTTTCTCTGTTATCCCTGGCTGCCCTGGAATTCATTGTAGACCAGGCTGACCTATAACTCACAGAGATCTGCCTGCCTCTGTCTCCAGAGTGCTGGAATCAAAGGCGTGCACCACCACACCTGGCATTGCCAAACATGTCCCTTTTTTCTTGGTTCCCATATTATAGCTAGGAAGAGAAGTCTTGTTTACCTCTTCTCCCCCCAATCAGATCACATATCTTTGAGTTACTACACAATCAAGAAACTATCCCAAGGTTGGGGATGTAGCTCAGTTGTAGAGCGCTTACTGGTCGGACATGCCAGGCTCTGGCCGGATCTTTAGCACCACAACAAAACAAAACCAACCTTAACTCCTTGTCCCTGGCTCCTTTTATATACCCATTCTGTTCATGCAGCCTTCCTCACCACCTTCATCTTCCCAGATCTGGTCATTTGAGAGTCCCGAAACTATCTATAAGTTTCTTTATGTTCAGTCTTAGTTATGTAGCTCCCTACTCTGCATGGCAGATAATAGACCTTCAGGCGATCTTCCTGCCACCAGTGCTCTCAGCTGTCAGCATCAGACCCATTCCTCCTGAATTTACTGTCCCCATTTACAGTTCCATTTCTGACAGAGATGCTGCCTTCCTGTAGTGATGTCAGCTTCAGAATTCCTTGCTGTCGCAGAGACCGTTAGAAGCTAGTGGTGGTGTTTATGAGGGAGCAGACTCCCCAGTTTCTGCCATTTGCTTGGTTCTTTCATTGTGATCTTCACCGTCACACTGGAGGAAGCAGTGACTTCTGTGATTCCTTCAGCCAGGGGGGTAGGTACTCCCCCAGGTATACAGCATCAGACTCATTGTCTTAGGATCGTCCAGAAGGAAGCCCTCAGGGTTTCTTCAGACCTGCTATCAGCATTTAATTTTGAAAGACTCTGGGCCCTACTGCTAGCATTCAAAATGCAGGTTGATGCCTCTCCGGGTTGCCAGTGAGTTATTTCAACCAGTGTTCCCCATAGCCTTAAATTGTCCTAAAGTGACGACTACCTCAGCTGGTAGAAGGTGCAGCAGGAGAAGAGAAAGTGAGCAGTATCTGAGAAGGCACCATGGGTGAAAGCTGCAGAGTACAAGATGTCTTTGTGAACTAAGAGTATGGTCAAAATCTGTGCCTAAGCTTCTGAAAGGGGCGGGGGGAGTGAAGCTCAGAGGCGCTCACTCCATGCTTGTCCAGCGGCACAAGGCTGGGGTTTAGATCCTGGCATCACAAAAAGCAAAATCCACTGCTAACAACAAAAGCCCTCCAAAACCTCTATAGAAATTGATATCCAGTATATTTTAGTGTAAAAACCAATTCAACTGTGCAAGTGGCGTTAGAGCCCTTGGTGCCTTTGCTCCCATCACTCCCTGTGGGTGGCAGCTTGCCAAAGGGGAGAGGGCTTCTGACTAGATGTTGATTTTCATGAGAAATCACTGTGAAAGACTTTGCTCTTCTATGTAGTGAATGCCCCGTGGAAAGATTTCAAGGCCATTTGTACCTGTGTTTGAATTTGGGGTGAGTAAACCAAGCTCATTTTCTTACCCATCTGGTAGTTGGAGAACTGAGTGGTGGTGTGAGAGCTGCTCTCAGACAGTGAAGTCAACCGCTGCTTTTGTATGCTGTGTGTCCTTGCCCTGCTTGCCTGTGTGTCTGTCTGCTTCCAAGCTTCTGCATGCCCAGAGGCTGCTTGATGGATCTGTCTCATCCCTCAGACTGATCTCATCAGGGATTGAAGGGAGCACTGGGATGAGCTGGACACTGGGGCCATGTCTGCTGCCATGTCAGCGTCTTTGCTTAGCAGCTGTCAAGCCATAGATTGGTTCCAGGGCTCAGGGTCTCATCATTGGAAATCTATTGCTTCTAATGGGTCTGACCTGAGTTTACAGAGCATGGCTCCCATTAATGGGAACACAGAGGCAGTTGGCATAAAACTTTACAGTGCTCCTTTCCTCATTAGAACATGATGACCAAAGCCAAGGAAGGCTTAGCAACTTTGGTAACTTTGTTACCTTGAAAGGAGGAGCTGTTCTTTCCCACCTGCATATAACCTTTGTTATATGTACAATGAAGACTTTTTTTTTGCTGGTGATGGCTCTTTGGGTCCCACTGTTCTGTTTTCCATAAATACATCCTATCCTAGGACATAGCCCTCTATTGATTATGTTCCCTTTAGCCTACCCCACTTGGCATAGGTGATGAGGTTTGATGAATGAAAGGACCCAGATAGACCAGAGAATTCCCCTAAGCCTTGACACCCTGAAGGGTGTGAGAATGGGTTATGTAATTGCCCTCAATCTTTTGTTCCAGGGGGAAAAAAAGAAAGATGAACTGAGATGGATGTCTGTGTTAAAATGGTCCCAGCTGTGTCCTCATAGCTCTTCTGAATTGAATGGCAAAAGTTGAAGTAGGAGGATAGGAAATTATACCCCCTTCTAGTATTCCTTTACACTCAGGTCTAGCATATGAGACGATCGTCTGTATTTGAATGAAGCGTTTTACCGGAGCGCAGGGAAGGACAGTGGGGCAGATTGAGCTGTCACATTAACTAGGCACTGAGAGCACACAGAGCAGCTGCTGTTCATGACCAAGTCTGCCCGAACTTTCCATGTAGTGAAATGATTTCTTTGGGGGAACTTAGGCAATTGTGGTAACCCAGTGGTATCTTAGTGACTTAACCGGATTCTGCTGCTGTTGGAGTCCATATGGTTACTACCTTGAACAGGTGGTTTGCAAGTCAGGCTTGGTAGTGTGTACCTGAGCTTGGAAGACTGAAGGAGGATCACTTGAGTCTGAACATTTTAAATTGGCAGGGGCAGCAAAGGAGGACCCCCCCCCCATCTCAAAGTAGTGTTTTGGTGCCTTATACAGCAGGACTCAGAACCCACTGGACACGCAAAGCATCCGAACACCAGTGTTAGCAGGGTCAGGGGTGGTTACATAGCCTCAAACATGGGGCTTTGGACCAATAAATGTCTTTTCCTTTGACACACTTTGTTATTTAAACAGGGTGCAACCCTGTAGCCCAGGAACTCAATATATAACTCTTTCTACAGCCTAGAACTCAGTATGTTGCCCGGGCTTGCCTAGAACTCTCGATACCCCTGCCTCAGTCTCTAATTGCTGGGATTACAGGTGTGAGCCACCATGACCAGCTTCCTCTTTCATATTTGGATGATAACTTGAAAATGGTAAAACTAATGCTTTGAACTTTGGGGCAGCATGAGCATCACTGTGTGACAGATTGCCCCTAATGTGAACCCCAAAGCCTATTTCTATGTCTATGGAATTGATACTGAAATAACAAGGCCAAGAAACTACTAGCTAAGTTTCAGCCTGTGGAAATGCCTTAGTGTTATTTAGATAAAATATCTGTCATTTACACTTAATAAATGTTAATGAATGTTCAGGAAGAACGAAGTTCCCAGGGATGGCTGTTTGCCATGGGTCTTACTTCCCCTAGTTTTCTGTAAGAAAAAGTGATGCCTCTATTTTTTTATTATTATTATATGGCTTGTAAACAATCCCAATTTTAATAAAGTTAAGTTTTATATTGCTCTATAGTGGCCTTTTTTAATTAAAATGCTTGACTATTTGGTTTGTGTGTTTATATAAATGTGTGGGTGAGTGGATACACATGGGCATCAGAGGACAGCTCAAGTGACTGTTCTCTCTTCCTTCCACCATGTGGGTTCCCAGGATCCAACTCAGGTCATCAGCCTTGGCAGCAAGTGCTCTTAGCCACCAAGTCTCTTAATGAACATACATTTTTTTGTGTGGATCTCATACTTTCAGATTACTGGCAATTAATACATAAGCTTCATATTATATATTTCCCTTTTTCCTAACCACACCTCCCTGTCCTGAGTACTGGTTTACTGTTTTGGAACCTGGGGTGGGGGATGGGTTGAGACAGTGTCTCATGAGGCCCAGGTTGGTCTTGAGCTCCTTATCTCATACCTCAGCCTCTGGAGTTCTGGGGTCACAGGCATGAGCCTGCACACCCAGCATCTTTTAAGTTACTATGGCTAGGAGGGTTGTTGAGTGAATCAGTGTGATCAGATGGCTGTCAGCTATTAGAAAACAGTGCCAAAAAGATTGGAGTTCATCATTGTCTTTCTGTCTGCTTCTTCAGAATGCAAGTTACATAAACAGTAAAATTCTTATGTTTATTGTCTAGTTGGGCTGAGTTTTGGCAGAGTCATTTGCATAGCCACTACAGTCAGGAGCCATTCCTGAATCCCACCATGTTCCTTTACATCCATTGTATGGAGTAGGCTTGTTCCCTTTTTCAGGTTGGCTCATACACTGCTAGCCACAGGCTTCACTGAGCCATACCTCATCCATGGTGTAGATAGGGTCAAAGGAAAGTGACTGCTTTACCAGTCCGCCCCACCCCACTTGAGCATGCTGGGTGCTGAAGTCCTAGCTGACTGCATGTGTGTTTTACATGTTGTAAACCTGAGAATGACCCCACTCTACTTATAAAAAAAATAAACTAGAGAAGACCTAGTTTTTTTTATAAGGTGAAGGCCAGGATTTCACTATGCAGCACTGGCTGGCCTGGAGCTCCCTGTGTATACCAGGGGACCAGCTTCAAACTTGGAGAGATCCACCTTCCTCTGCCTGCCCAGTGCCAGAATTAAAAGTGTGTGCTGCCACACCCAGCCATGGACATCCCTCATCTTAGCTTCTAGATTTATACCTCCAGTTATATAGGAGCCCAGGCACTGGGGGTCCCAGGCAGGCCGGCATGGTTGGCAGCAGGAACTGTAATATCAGTACCAATGTTTTAAAACCAAAGTGCCATCTTGTTTTAAAGTGTGGAGTAGGCACATACACTAGTGAATGAGTAGAGGAAGACAAGCCCCAAGTGTCTGCAAACCCCTAGCACATAAGACCCAGTGTAGTGCCAGCTGTGGGAGTTTGCAGCAGTGTGTGGTCCTGGGAAAGTGTTTGTCTGCCTCTTGCTAGATCAGCAGTTACCCTGGCTCTGACACACTTACACTGCCCCACCCCTCCATAACAGGGGATTATGTTTAGATGCCACCTCTGCTCAGCTTTCTCTTTACCTTGCTTCCCTCCCTTCAAATAGATGTAGTAAATCAATAAATTATGTAAGGGCAGGTTGAAAATGGAACTGCTGATGGACCAGGCATATGCAGAGTGCTGTTGGAGCAATAGAGCACGGACCTTGAACCAAGCAGCAAAAGCTGAGAGTTGGAAAATCAAGTCTCCTTTGTTAAGTGATACAATTATCTTAATTTTCTCTTTGTTAGTAATTCTGAGAGAAGAGAGCAGGCAGAGGGGCATGCTGTCTAAGAATTTTCCTGGGTGGGCGAAGGCGTGTTGGGAAATTGGATTTTATAAGCTTGTACCTGTCCGGGGAGCCATTTTCTACTGGAGTAAAGCCCAGGAGACACCATCATGGGGTCTTATTTGGTATCCTGCCGCTGAGAATTGACTAAAACAGAAACCTCAGAACTTAGGCTGCAACCTTGGGTAGACAAGATCGGGAAAGGTGTGTCTGTCCCTGGTTCCCGATGTACTAGCTGTGGGACTGGGGCACAGGTGTCTGCCTCTATATTTTCCCATTGAATGAAGCATCTGCACTGCCGCCTCAGGGTGGGGCTGCTGGTGATTCGGGTGGTGGGTCCATGAAATGTGAGGAGCCACAGCTCAGACTTTAATCTGTGGGTCTGTATAAAGAGGTCTCACTCAGGAAGGGAAGTGGACAGGATTTGCAATTTTGTCACTTAGCCCTTCAGGACATCTGAGAATTCTGGGGCTCCCAGGAAGATAAAAAGTTAGCTTTAAGGGAGACACTGTTTCTCTGCTAGGAAGACCCCACCACCACCTCCAGCCTGCTTTCATCCATGGCAAAATCCCCAACTCTTTGTTGGAAAATCTTTTCCTTGGCTATAATATCCATTTCTTTTGCTCTTATTTCCAAATTCTTGGAATAGTGGGGCATGAACTCTTCTTGAAGGAGCCCCTCCACAAAAGCGGGCAGATAGCCTTTCCCTAAAGGCAGGGAGGCTGGGCTCCATGGGCACGTGAAGGGTTAAGAGAGCCACACCCTCAGCAGGAACCGCTCTGGACTTTGTGCTGAGCAGCCATCTCTGGCCTCTTCTGGCCTGAGTGGCACAGGGACTACAGGAGGCAGCACAGAGGAAGGTCAGACGGGGGACACCATGGACAGCTCCTGTTAACGAAGGCATCTCTCCAGGCTTGGCGTTGTGGCTCATCCCCTATTGGAATTCCCCATCCCCATTCTCCAAGGGCCATCAAAGTACACTCTTGTTCTGGTGTTGGGTAAGTCCTGCCTTGACCTGTCACCTTGGGGTGCCACTTCTGGATCTGTTTCTGTTTCCCCTTTCTCATCTCCAAATAGTCTTAATGCCTCTCAATCCAAACTTGAAGACGTATGCCCTCCCTACCTCTGCTTCACACTCTTTCCTGCCAAGAGGCTTCAAAGACTGTCTGTCTGTCTGTCTGTCTGTCTGTCTGTCTGTCTGTCTCTCTCTCTCTCTCTCTCTCTCTCTCTCTCTCTCTCTCTCTGTGTGTGTGTGTGTGTGTGTGTGTGTGTGTGTGTGTATGTGTGTGTTGAGACTGGATCTTACTTTGCAGGAACAACTTTTCAGGTTCGTCTGTAATTCACTGTGTAGCTCAGATTGGCCTCAAACTTACGGCAATCCTCCTGCCTTGGCCTCCTGAATGTTGTGATTAGAGGCACAAGCCATCATGCATGGCTACTTAGCTTTAATCTGAGATACATGGGATAATAAGAGTATCAACTTCATGTGCTGTTGTAACTGTGTAGTTAGTGTTGGGAGCCCTGCCTGGCCTGTGATGAATGGCCAGTGCATGTTTCCAAAGACTGCTGTTATCAGTATTCATATTGCAACCTAGATATTTAGGAAGTTACATGGGGAATGGAGGGGGGGAAGGCGGGGTTCCTTCCTTGCCACTATTCCTGTTCTTCCTCTAGGTTCAGAGAGGCAGGAGAGTGGGGGAATGTGCCATAGTCCTGCTTGGGAGTGGCACCAACTATTGTACCAATTCTGCTGCCCCGCCTACTTGGTTCACATGCAGACGGCTTATTTCTTCCACAGAAACACCTGCTGTATGCCTGCTGTGTGCAGCCCAACCCACATCCCTCCCTCTAGCACTCTTCCTTGCCCACTCCTGCCAGCTACTAAAGAATGGGGTGTGTCTCTTCAGCCAAAGTCCATGCCAGAAGATGATAGGAATAGGTATAAAATCTGAAGATTTTACAATTAAAGACAGGGCAGGAGAGACAGCCAGAGACTATTGGCAGTTGGGAAAGCAAACCCACCTCCATGGTCTATGGGGACTTCTGGTCTTTTGTGGAGGACTGTCTGTCTATATTCTTGAACTCATCACCTTGTCCAATGTCATTTAAAAAATGAAGTTCACTGCAGTAACAACAGAGAGGAGAGATCTCTGGAGACAGGCACTGTGTGGAGGGATTAGGTGGCTGAAATTGGGGTTGGGGTTGAGTACAAGCAGTGGGCCAGCAGCCAGGGAGCACTCCCTGAGGAGGAAGGGAGCACTCCCTGAGGAGGAAGGGCACTTTCAGTACCTGGCTGAGGAACAAAGCTTGGTTCACACTTCCTTCAGCCCTCTCCTTTAAGCACAATTCTGCTCCCTTGTCACTGCCTACTGATGCCACCCTTCCCCAGATGGGTGGACAAACATGGACCTATCTAATGGCCATCCCACCCCTACCCATCCGTCAGGGGGTTCCTCTACCTCCCTGGCTGGCCAGGCTGGTCCAGAGGCCCCTTTGACTAGAGGGCTCTCCTGCAGAGAGGGAAAAGAGGGCTCTCGTAGGCCCTTCTGCCCTCTTCTCCTCCCACCATGACTTAGCCCTTAAGCTGAGCAAGCAGCAGCAATTTGCCATGTTTGTGCCTAGGATCCTCAACCCTCCTGACATGCCTATCCTGGAAGGCTCCGTGGGAGTGGAGGACCTTGTCCTCCTGGAACCCCTGGATGAGGATTCCCTGATCAAGAACCTCAAGCTTCGCTACGAAAACAAGGAGATTTATGTGAGCTCACCGCGGGTGCCAGGCAGTGGGGTACCCCGAGGGTTCCGGTGTTCTTCCTGCCACGCTCATTCGCTTCAACCCCCTCCTGACCCCAGACCTACATCGGGAATGTGGTGATCTCAGTGAACCCCTACCAGCCGCTTCCCATCTATGGCCCAGAGTTTATTGCCAAATACCAGGATTACACTTTCTATGAGCTGAAACCCCACATGTGAGTAAAGGACCAGAGGGGCTAATGTCCACGAAGCTCCCAACTTCCCCCCTCCCCTCCCCTAAAGGAGGCTCTCCAGCATTCTCCCCAAGAGTTCATCCTAGGCCTGTCACTTCCAGACTAATCTCACCCGCATGACAGGGGTGGGTGGACCTAAGGCTACGGATGGAAAGATGCTGTCTTGGGCTGGATTCACATTAGTTATTGTCTACGTCCTTCCTGCAAGCTATGCTTTGGCAAATGTGGCCTACCAATCACTGAGGGATCGGGACCGAGACCAGTGTATCCTCATCACGGGTGAGAGCGGAGCTGGGAAGACAGGTGAGGAGGCATCTGGTTTGGGGGAACCAGGGAATCACATCTGGAAATGTCTCCTCCTCTCTCCAAGACAGGCCTGCCCCTGTCCTCAGTTCCCTACTTCCTCTTTAGCTTTTCTTTCTTCCTTTTTTAGCGGTTTATTTATTTTTATGTGTATGCCTGAGAGAGAGGGGGGGGGGAGAATTTGCACCACATATGTGCAGGTGCCTAAGAATCCAGAAGAGGTCGTCAGATTCTCTGGAACTGGAGTTCCAGGTGGTTGTGAGCCACCTAATGTGGGTGCTGAGAACTCAACCTAGGTCTTCTATAGGAGTAGCAAGTAACACTGGGCTTTGGTGAAGCACACCTTTAATCCCAGCACTCGGGAGGCAGAGGCAGGTGGATCTCTGTGAGTTTGAGGCCAGCCTGGTCTACAGAGGGAGTGCCAGGACAGCCAGGGCTACATGGGGGTGGGGATGGGGGGTGGCAAGTGTTCTTAACCACTGAGCCATGTCTTCTGTTTTTCTTACTGCTGTGGTGTCAGATGTCAGAGTTAGGGGGGTGTGAGCAGGTATGCCCTGGCCGGGGACTCAGAGTTTCTTGTGCACAGAGGCAAGTAAGCTGGTGATGTCCTATGTGGCTGCCGTCTGTGGGAAAGGCGAGCAGGTGAACTCAGTGAAGGAGCAGCTGCTTCAGTCAAACCCAGTGCTGGAAGGTGAGCACTCCGGTCCCTACTGTGTCCATCCCCCTGTCTCTGTCCTCACCCCAGTCCCTCCAGCCTAGACATTCCTCCAAAAATCACTGTTTCCCTTTGGCACAAACAAACAAAACCCCCATGTGATTAGTTAGTAGACTGGAGAGGGTCATCGCCCCGTCACCACCCACAGGACTTCTTTCCCCTGGAGTCACTCTTCAGGAGCTGCAGTCCCCTCACCCTTCCTTTCTTCATCCCCACAGCATTTGGCAATGCCAAGACCATCCGCAATGACAACTCCTCTCGATTTGTGAGTGACCGCATCTGCCCGGGAGGAGTGGGGGTGTGTGCTGAGAGTGAGCAGGGCAGCACAGACCCCTCCCCATAGGTGGTGGGAAGAGAAGGAGAGCCAAGGCTTTCTCTGGTCTCTCTCTCTGAAGGGAAAATACATGGATATTGAGTTTGACTTCAAAGGATCCCCCCTTGGCGGTGTCATCACAAACTGTATGTGTCCCCTCCCATGCAGCTCTCCTGCCTGCCAACTCTGTCCCCCTTTGCTCATCTGCTTCTCCAGGCAGAGACTTCCCCAACCTTTGGGAACCACTGGGGCTCAGGGTAGAATTAGAGCAATGTGTCAAGTTGTGTCCTGGACTCTCATGAGGGTGTTTCTCCACACTTTCCCAGATCTGCTGGAGAAATCCCGAGTGGTGAAGCAACTCAAAGGAGAAAGGAACTTTCATATCTTCTACCAGCTCCTGGCCGGAGCAGACGCACAGCTGCTAAGTAAGTGCTCTTCCTGGACACATGGCGAAGCACCCCAACCTTGTCCTATCCCCAGAACACTAGGCCCCTCTCCCGCCCTCCTCTGAAGCCCCTCCCCATGTCTCCTTGCCTGCATTTCCCACCCAGAGCCTTATGACTCCTGGTTGAGAACAAATCCCTGACTGCTCTGTTCTCTGTCTTTGCTCGTGTGGCTTGGCGGAGATTTGCCTTCATTGTCACTGTTCTTGTCCTAGCCCCACCTCATTCTGTTGACAGTTACATAGAGAGTGTTCAAGAACCTCCAAGAGCTTTGGTGACAGCACCTAGGCTTACAAACCCACCTCAGCCAGGAGCTTTCCAAGGTTTCTTTTGCTTGTTTTATTTTATTTTATTTTATTTTATTTTTTTCTAGATAGTTTCTCTATGTAGCTCTGGCTGTCTTGAAACTCACTCTGTAGACTAGGCTGGCCTCGAACTCACAGAGATCCGTCTGCCTCTGTCTCCTGAGGGATTAAAGGTGTGCCATTACCGGGCAGTCTTCCCTGGTTTTGTTTTTTTAGCTCTATAGAGGTTTCCTTCATTAATTCATCCATTCATCAAGTGCTTCTTGAACACCTGATCCGCTTTACGTTAGGGTTTAGCAACAGATCGGAGGGTGATTCAGTTCATCTGTCATAAAAGAACTCAGTCTTGTAGGGACCATGGTGTGTGAGCAGGCAAGGCAGTCTGGTTGGTTCCAGTAAACCTGTGCAGATAGCTACAGGAGAGGACAGCATGAATCCACTTGCCTGTCCGGGGAAGTGCCCACAACAGCCTGAGAGCTTGGACTGGCCAGAGGTGGCTCCCAGTGAGCATCACTGAGGGATCAGGTGGGACTTTCTCCTGACAACTGTTTGTCTCTCAGTCTCCCCTCCAGCTGTGAGAACCAAGGATTCCTAGCCCCTTAGGAGCCATTTCTTCGGTTCCTTGTTATTCTATGCTTGACTTTTGCATGGCTTTTTTTGGCTCCTTGAAATCTCTATGGTTCAGGAGACCCCATGGGTCTGTCTTATCCTCCCCCTTCTTGCCTTAATGGCCTTAATGATGTTCAATTTGTATGACTCACAGGCACTAGGGTTTTATTCTGCCTGGGTCCATACCTGTTAGTTTAAGTTGAGTCTGGGTAAATCTCCCTGGAGTCATTATTCCCAGGTTTTCTGACTCATTCTCTCTCTAGCTTCCCTTCCTTAGTAAGCTCCTCTTTCAGAGTCTGTGTGAGGAGGGAGCCCCCACTAACTCCAGCCTGATGTTCACTACTCTGATTCTCAGATCATTTGCATAAAATATAACCTGACTTGCCTGCTCCTAATCTGTGATCGGCCCAACTCTTCCCATCTTAGGGAAACAGCTTCCAGCATTTCCTTGACTCATTTATTAAAATGAAAAAAAAAATCTCCTGTTTGCCAACACAGAATATGGAGAGGAAAAGCAGCCCCAACAGCAAATCACTCATTTTGGAGGAGGACAGAAAAAAAAATCAAAATGTATCTTTCATGATGTGGGCTGGGAGAGTCTCATTTACCTCAGGGGAACACAAGAAAGCCATTCTGCTCCATGGTCGGCACTGGAGAGAGCCTTCCAGAGGAGGCAGCAGGGCCAGGGAACAGATACTGGTTGTGCTGACAGAACACAGGGCCATGAGGCTGCGGGCAAATAGGTCTTTTCTATTCTTCCCCCACTCTCTTGCCTGAGTAGGAGAGAGGGTTTGCTTGGTTGTTTTCAACATTTAGGACCCTGAGGGTGGGAATAAAAACCAGTGAGGCTCTTGTGCATCTGTCTAGCAGGTATGAATGCCCAAGCCCTAAAAACCACTTTAAAAGTTAGTTTACCAGGGCTGGAGAGATGGCTCAGTGGTTAAGAGCAATGGCTGCTCTTCCAGAGGACCAGGGTTCAATTCCCTGGCACGGCAGCTCACACCTGTCTATAACTCCAGTTCCAGGGCTTCTGACACCCTCACACAGACAAACATGCAGGCCAAACACCAATGATCATAAAATAAAAAACTTAAAAAATAAGTTGGTTTACCATCATGGAAATATATCAACCCCACCCAAAGGCCAATGGCAAGGGCCGTGGGGTGACTGCACGTGTCAACCCTTCCCCTCTATACTCACCCTCCCAGGGGCCCTAAAGCTCGAGCAGGATGCAAGTACCTACGCCTATCTGAACAGGGAAGTATCCAGAGTGCTTGGCATGGATGATGCCTCCAACTTCAGGGCTGTGCAGGTGAGGGGGGCAGACTCGAGCGCTTCGGCCATCCTCTGAACCCAGGATTTGCGAATGGAGACACTGGGCTGGCCCCTCTAGCTCAGCTCGCTTCCTGTTTTCTTCCCAAGAGTGCAATGTCAGTGATTGGGTTCTCAGAGGATGAGATCCGACAAGTGCTGCAGGTGACGGCTCTGGTGTTGAAGCTGGGGAATGTGGAGCTGGCAGATGAGTTCCAGGCCAATGGGACACCAGCAAGTGGCATCCGTGACGGGAGAGGTTGGTGCCACCTTGTAGATGGAGGTTCCTTGTCCTGCTTGCTCCTGTAGCCCCTTCAGCCCCAAATAAGCACACAGGGATATATGTTAATTATTAAAATCGTGGCCGATGGCTAGGGCTTCTTATTGGCTAGCTTCTTCTTAATTATTAACCCATTTCTGTAAATCTATGTATTTCCACGTGGTCTTGGCTTACTGGAGAATGTCTGTACCTGTTACTCCTTTGGTGGCTACATGGCGTCTCTTTGAGGCCTCCCTCTGCCTCCCTTTCCCAGAATTCTCCTCATCTCCTAGTCCCGCCTATTTTCCTGCCTCTATTGGCCAAACAGTGTTTTATTCATCAACCGATAAGAGAAACATATATACAAAAGGACCTCCCCCATCGCCACCTTGCTGGAGCCCACTCCAAATCCCCTACCCCAAGTCCAGTCATTTTTCTATACCATCTCCAGCGTGACTGATTTACCCGACACACTCGCACTCAGCCCACTTGTGCTGTCCCTCCAAAGGGACTCCCCGATCACTCTACAGAAGGCACTTTGGAATGAGCTTCTGAAAGTGTTTCAGCTTTGATCTGCAACTCTCAGAGCCTTAGCGGAGTCTTCTGGGATATAGGGGCAGCCTGGCCTGTTTCAGGAGATTCCCGTATGAAAGAAGACAGGGCAGGCGGTGTGTCCCATTCCTCCTGGGGCAGCTGCATCCAGCCCCTCCCCACTGAGATGAGGTTCCCTCCCTGGCCACCTTGTACTTCTTTGTCATTCTAGGTATCCGGGAGATTGGGGAGATGATGGGTTTGAGTTCGGTGGAACTAGAGAGAGCTTTGTGCTCAAGAACCATGGAGACAGCCAAAGAAAAGGTGGTCACAGGGCTGAGTGTCATGCAGGTATGAGCCCTCTCAAATGAGCTGACTTTGAGCCTGTCCTGTGGCTGCCACATTAATGAGACTGTGCCCCACACCCCAGGCTCAATATGCTCGGGATGCCCTGGCTAAGAATGTTTACAGCCGCCTCTTCGACTGGATAGTGGGTCGCATCAATGAGAGCATCAAGGTGAGAGACGCCCTTCCCCAAAGCCCGCCTCACCTTCTTGCCCTCCGAGATACACACAGAGAGAGGAACGTGAAGAGGAAGGCACACTGCCTTTTAGGGATTTGAGTCCCACAGTCTGGTCCAGCTATTTACTGGTCTTTCACCTTCACAAAGATACTAAGCCCCGCTGGGCGGTGGTGGTGCAGACCTTTAATTCCAGCACTGGGGAGGCAGAGACAGGTGGGTCTCTGTGATTCTGGAGTTCCACGCACATCAATACAAACGATATATAATTTGATTCCTCCTTGTGGCTGAATAAAAGCCACGTTGTGTATACATTCTGTATTTCCTTACCAGCCCTAGAATGCAGTGGTTCTCACTCAACCTGTGGGTCGTGGCCCCTTTGGGGGTTGAACGACCCTTTCACAGGGGTTGCCTAAGACCATTGGAAAACACAGATATTTGCATTATGATTATTAACAGTGGTGAATTTGAAGTTATGAAATAGTGATGAAAATAGTGTTTTCACATCACGGGGAACTGTATTACAGGGTGGCAGCATTAGGAAGGTTGTGAACCACTGTCCTAAGAGAATTTAATGTCTTCCTTCTTCATGCCATGTGAACCCTCGTGAAATTCATTTGCATCTGCCCTTCCTTCCTTCCTCCTCCTCTGCCTGTCCTGCAGGAGATGCAGGAGGAGGACGCCATAGTTCCTCTCCGGCTTGGTCAAGCTTACTGCAGTTCTGTTTGTCCCTACTCTAATCCTATCCACCTGGTGTGCCCAGGGGGCCATTCCTCATATTTGTGCCCCCCCTTCTTCAGGTGGACACTGGGGAAAAGAAGAAGGTTATGGGGGTGCTGGATATCTACGGATTTGAGATACTGGAGGTGAGAGAGCACCAGCCAGCCATTTAGGGGGACAGGCTCACAGTGGGTGAGAGAGGGGCCATGAGGGAGGAAGGGTCTGAGTTAAGCCACCCTCCTTTCCCTCGTAGGATAATAGCTTTGAGCAGTTCGTGATCAACTACTGCAACGAGAAACTACAGCAGGTGTTCATAGAGCTGACCTTGAAGGAGGAACAAGAGGAATACAAAAGAGAAGTAAGCTGAGTCTCTCCTAGCCTGCTAAGGGGCTTCCAGATGTGTGCCTTTCTTCTTGATCACAATTTCCTTCTAATTGTTCCCAGATGGGAACACAAAGGACAAAATGTTTTCCTCTTAACAGCTGAGCATTCAGCATTCCTAACTCACCCGGCTTCCCATCATCCATGTCCCCGGCTTCCACTCCAGGCCAGCCAGTCAGGGGACAGATGGATGGAAGGGCGTGTTTGTGTGTGTGAGTGTGTGAGTGTGTGTGTGTGTGTGTGTGTGTGTGTGTGTGTGTGTGTGTGTGTGTGTGTGTGGTGTGTGTGTGTGTGTGTG